CCTGGCGTGTTTTATAAAGAGCTTTGTCATATTTGCAGCACCACCTCTCCAACGTGTCCCCACACCACGCCATCAGCACCGCCCATCCATCTGGCCAGGCTACATCTGGAGCTCAGTTCCACCAGACGATCTAAATACTGTCACAGCCTTCATTACACACCGTGATGAATAATTTCAGGAAAGAAACAATAAATAAATAAGCGCGCTACCAATCAGCAGCTTACTTTTGATGATATAATTAAATACACAAGCACAGTCAATTCTCCCAGTGCTTGTTCCTTCACCTCCCAGTAACCAGGTCAGAATGAAATCTGGAATGTTGAACTGTCAAGCCCTTCAAGTCCTTTCCCCTGGGACGAGCTGGAAGTTCTTGCATTAAGCTAAACAGATTCTGAGTGTTTTCACTTGACTTCCTAAAGTAAGAAATGGTCATGCATTATTCAGTGATATTTTAATATGTCGCAGCTGCTCTGTGGTGTCTTCACTCAGATGCGTTGGGATTTGCTTGGGAACGTATCAAAGTGGACGCCCATGACCATAACGGCTTGTCTTATTGGCTAATTATTAAGCCATAAATCAGCTTTGACCCTACTTTTATGTAACTCGATCTATCCTTCATTGTGTAATATTACAAAAATAAAAATGCAAAAGTTGTTTTCACGTGTTCTGGAAATTTATGAAAAAAAATCCCATTTACTTATTCACATTATCATTATCACATAGTGACGCTGGGGCGCTGACCCATCTTACTTTAATTAATGTTCTTTAGGATGCTTCTCAAACTTGACTGTTCCTTAGATGAATTACTTTACTCTGAGGTCGCACAGTTAATTATCTGTTAGAATCAAACTACTTTTGCAATTAATAACTTGAAGTAATCGTTTTCCGTATGATTTCAGTTTTTCATGTTATTTTGGAGGAATTTTTTGGCCCGCTCGATTTTACAGTGCTGCTTCAGTTCATTGAGGGTTGTCGTTTGTTTATGCATGGCTGTACAGTTGAGCTGACATCTGGACTTTGACTGGGCCGTTGCAGAATCTCACTTCTTTTTTTCCTCAGCTGTTGTGCAAAGCTTTATCTGTTGGGCAGATGGCTTCACATTTTACTCTAGAATACTTTGGGATACAGAGAAGTGACTGCAAAGTGCACAGACAGTTGGTATGCTGTTAATATGTTGTGCTTAATTTTTTGCATTATGGGCACACACTCCACTTTTGTTTCCCCTGGTCAGAGGACTTTCCCCCCCCAGAAATCTTGTGGTTTGTTCAGATCCAATTTCTTGCAAACCTAAGCCATGCTGCCATCTTCTTTTCAGAGAGAAGAGGCTTTCCCCTGGCAACCCTTCCAAACAAGCCACACTTGTTCAGTCTTATTCTTAATTGTACTGTCATGAACTTTATTATTTAACATGCTGACTGAGGCCTGCAGAGTCGGAGATGTAGCTCGTGTTTTTTGCAGCTTCTCTGTGTATTTCAGTCTGACCTTGGGATAAACTTGCTGGGACCTCCACTCCTGAGATAAGCAGCTATCTTGAATATTTTCCACTTGTGAATAATCATGTTGATGGCATGATGGACTTCAAAATACTTGGAAATAACCCTATAACACTTCCCAGACTAGCATGGTGGCACGCACTGTTGCATTAGAGGAAGAAGGTCGGGAGTTCGACCCCACAATCTGCCTGCGGCCTCCCTGTTTGTATGGGTTCTCTTCTGGCTTCCTCCCACAGTCCAAAGACATGCAGTGGAGATAGGTTAACTGATGATTCTAAATAGCCCATCGGTGTGAATTATTGTCCATGTTTCTGTTAGCCCTGTGTCAGGCTGATGACCTGTCCAGGTTGCAGCCTGCCTCTCACCCTATGATAGCCGGGATAGGCTTGAGCTCCCCCACCCCCAATAAAAAGAGCCAAAATTTTGACCCAATAACACTTGGACAAATGTGAATACACACGTAGAGTAGAATTTCAAAGTAGGTTCTACCATAAGGAAATTCAGTGTTATAAGGGGTTTAAGTGTCATTTGTGATATGCTTTTCTAACACTTGTACGTCATCAGTGCCTTCACCCCGAACTTTAAGCATAAATTGCAAAAAATGCCAGATGTAGCAAAACAAAATTGTCAGAAGGTTTGATAAACACACCATTTAAAAAAAAGGTTAATGCACTCATGCATCAAAGTACTTAAAGTATAAGGAAAAAATCTAATGGCTTTCAGTAATTCCACCGTTTAGTCATAACATTTGATGTGTTTTAAGCACAGGTATAATCTTTAATGCTATAGCCTAATTGTAAGTACTAATAATGCAGTGTGAATTATTTAATTACTGAGCACATGCAAGAAGAATGAGACCACACAAGAGAATAGGTTCATATTTTCTGGAATGCTTTTGCCTGGAAACCCCCCCCCCTTGCCAATGCTGACATGTTTTCATTTTCTTTACCTTTTCTTTTCCCTCCCAGATCCAATTTATATTTATGTATGTTTTCGGTTTTTTTCCCCCCCCTCTTCTTTTTTTTTTTTATGGCCTTATAAGCACCCAATTCCTCCATCTTTATTGGCAAAAGCAAACATGCTAGTAAATTAGAAATCCAGTTTTACAAACAAAATACATGAAGAAAATACATCCACATCCTGCAAATATAAACAGTAACAAATCCAAAACTATTATCCAATAAACACTTTACATTTTTTACACCATTGTGTGATAGTACAAAAAGTGGGAGACCTTCTCTGAATCCTCACTCACACAAAGCAAGAACCTCACCAGTATAGGTTTATCCCTTCAACCTGCCAGTGACCTCATTAAATTAAAAAAACAAAACAAAAACATCACATGAGAAAATCATAATGAAGTACAAAGGGAAAAGCAACAGCCTCTCCTCTCACACACACACATCATTCTGACGCTAATGCTGGAAGTAAAAACATCAGCTTTGGGACAATGAGGTCGCTGGCAGGAGGCGTCTGAGTATCAGTCAACAGTCAGATATGCAATCCACACAAGAGCACTACCAACATTGTAGGTGGGAGGAAGATCTGCACCCTTTTAGATGTGGTGCCAGCGTGCATTAGGGAGCAAAGAAAACCAATTGTAATCACTGACTGAATATATGACCACGCAGGCCAAAATGTGCATATTATGTGCATATATATATATATACATACACATACACATACATACACATACGTGCACATTTCTACACGCATGTCTTGTGTAAAGTCTGCACAGTAATAAGTTAAAGTCTTTCTTCTCCTATGGTGCTTCATTCAAACTGGATATGATCAGTTTAGCTGAGTTACGAAAAGCATAAATCAAACAAAACGTCATTAAGCTGCATGTAAATGTATCTGGTGGAAGGGACAGGACTAATTCTTTAACCAAATACATTTGTATGTGAGTTTTAATGGTTTTAGATTCCTCCCACCTTGAGGATTCTAAAATACAGTATATGGGGGGGGGGGGAAAAAAAAAAAAAAAAAAAAAAAAAGGCAAAACAGAAAGTAAAAATATTTATCATGAACTCACACACTGTGGTTTTACTCACAGAGTGGCTTCGGAGCACAGTTTGACAATATTCAGATAGAGGCAAAGCTGCACTTAAGCTAAATCAATGTTGTTACGGGCATGACTCGGTGTCTTTCAGAGTGTTTTCCACAGCTCTTATATTTCGTAAACAGACAAACAAAAACCTACTTAAATGACAAGTTTAGTCAAATAACAATATGAACTGGTTGAAAACTGAAAATACAAAATTCTTGCGACTAAAGCAGAGATACTAAGCTCTCCTGCTCAACATTTTCTACCTGATACAACCTCATCAGTCGTTAACCCCCCCCCCCCCCAAAAAGGGGGAAAAACAAAACAAAAAAATATTAAACTTAGAGAGAAAAAAAAAAAAAAAGAACAGTAATTTCTCTTTCAAGCATTTACAAAATTTACAAAAGTAAATCACGTCCTGTAAAAACTCAGCAATCCGCTGACTGTGTAAGGCAAAGAAATTATTTATATATTCTTTTTTTTTTCTTTTTAAGCATTACATTCAAACACCTGTCTATGGATCTCACATTTTTGAAATGGGTGATCTGATCTTTGTCCCGTCAGGGCCTCTGAATGACCAAGTGACAGAAGAAAACAAGTGAAAATGTTACGCACTCTTAGCAGATGAACATTACAACATGTGTTTGGGTGTGTATTTACACAGAGTGGCACTGGACAACTGAGTGAGCAACAAAATACAAGTGTGTGGGGGTGATTTTTTCCCGAACATGACTACATGACTGTATATGAAGTGCATGGAAGTTTGTAAACATTGATTGTGTTTTTTTTATTGCACTGGTATCCTATTGTACCTGCACTGGCTGTATGGCCACGGTGCAGCATCTCTATGGGTCTGTCTGTTTATTAGGAACACCAACATGCATGTGCACTGGCAAATATTCATACCAGCACACATTTAGGGAAAAAGAAAGATGCAATCCTTTAACACGTTGGGCTTTACCACATCAAAACTATGAGCGAAGTGAAAGCTGTACCATACTTTGCCAATATCGGTACGGCACAGTGCATTTATGCAGTGTGGAAAAAGAATAAATAAATTTCTCTGTGGTAGCGGCAGAGAACGTTCTGTTGGTGATGGAATGGCTGTCCCTGAACGGAGGACAAGATTCTACAAAAACTGGTGAGAAAAAGAGCTTAAATACAGTATGTATAAAAATACCTATTCACAGTCGACACAAATGTTGTGCATTACTGATATTGTCCATCTGGTAAGCACACAGAAACTTACATAAGTTTTTCTAGCTATAAGAACAACTAAACATGTATCTTTCTCAGCAAAAGTGAGATGTTTTAAACAACTGTTTAGTTGAGGGATACAAAAAACTGTTGACCATCTACACTTCTTTTCATGTACAATAAAGTAAAGACGTTTTTTTCTTTTACTTTGATTAGAGTCTAAAATTACTTTGAAAATACTGGAAAGGGAAAAAAAAAGTGAGTTCCTTTACATCAATTTTAATCTGCGTGGGAGTGGGAGTGGGGGACCACTGATTCTGCCGGAGAGCAGTTAATGATAATGACGAATGTCATTATCGCCTCCAAGATCGACTCTCGTACTCATCGTCTTCATCGTCATCCTCTTCCTCCTCCTCTTCTTCCTCTTCCTCCCCAGGTAAATACGAGCTAGCTTCCTTCTGTAGAAACAAATACCATGTTAGCATTTATATTTATGCTTTTTCTGGAAACTTTAAGTCAGCTTTCCTCCTGGCAACATGCATGTTTAGAACACAGCAAACAGAAAGTGATTCAAAGTGTAGCAGAGGGAAATTATTTATTGTTTAAAGAAAAAAAAGAAAAAGAAAACAATCCAAAAACATACTGGAATATCAGATTTTAAAATCACCAAATATTGGTACTGATCTTAAAAATCCTATAGTGGTCAGACTGCCTGCTTCTGATATTTCTTATGCTTTAGATTTAGACATCCTCCATTCGATTGGTTAGCCATCGGTGAATCCACCATGACAGGTGACCTGCTGATCAGTCTCAGGAAATTAATCCTAATCTCTGCCAGTCAAACTAGTCTGTAGACCTGTCCAGAAATCTGTCTGTTTCAGCTCCTGTGATAAAACGTGATGAGCATGAAGTGGCTATAAGTAGATCTGCAGTCAGAGGAAATCTGACAACAAATTTCTACCTGTGCACAGACACATTTTCAGAATGGCAACCGTACCTTTAAAAACAAAAGTTACATATAAGAAATGGCACAACCTCAAAGGAGGAAACAAACCCCTTAAATAAATACAGCATAAGGATTTCACCTGACAGTAATGCAGTTTTACTCATGGGGCTAAGATGCTCTTAGTACTGAGAGGCTAGCACTCCTTTTCCTTTGGGAGATGCTGTTAAAAATTAACAAGCAGCAGAAAGAAATAACCAAGTAAAATTTTGTGAATGTAACCAAAACTTCAAAAGTTTCCCCAACTCAGATTTTCAAGTTGTGTCGTACACAACGCCCTTTCCTTAATTTGTTTTAGTTACTGGGAAAACATGAAGCCGTGTGTGTATTTGTCATACCGCACTGTCCTCATCTTTAGCCTCCTCTTCCTCTGGCTCCGTTGTAACAGAGGGCGTCTTGGGCTTGTACCAGGAAATCTGCAGAACACGACCTTTGAACTTAGCTCCCTGGTTTGCTGCCTAGAACACCAAAGAGAGGTACAGCTCTTTTAGATGCTATACTGGAGTATTTTAATTATTTAAATTTATTAATTTATTCTATTATTATTAGAAGAGGATTAGAGGAAAAGCAGCAAGATTAAGAGAACATGTAGCCCATACACATTTGGAGCCATGTGACTTACATTCTCTGCTTCACTCCGTGTCTTAAAGGTCATGACGACACTGTTGGCGTCTTGGTCACGGAGATCCTCGATTTCACCAAATTTCTAGGTTAAAAAAATATCAGTTGGCCAATCAGGATATAGTTATACACATCAAAACATTTATGACTTATCACAGGGAAAATGATTCACTTAACATATCTAAAGATATAAGAGGGAATAAAGTGGTATTTATTACTACAGTTTTTATTACTTAGCAATAACATCGTGCTGTATTACTGGAGGGAGAGATCCTGCCATATTCTTACCACAAAGTGCGGCATTAGCTCTTCTTTTTCCTCCTGAGTGACCCCTAAAATAGCCAGGGCTCTGGGTCTGTGATCAACCACCATTCGGTTCACAGCCCCGCCGCGCGCCATCATTTCCCGGTTTCGACTCCGGCCACGGCCCACGTGCATCGCACCAGGATCTGGGCCCAGCTTTCCTCGGCCGCGACCTCGACCTGCTGGAGGCCAGATCAAACCCAAACGTGTTGCCTAAAGGAGGACAGAAAGGGCGGTTGACTGGACGCTGTTTGATTTCAGTACACAATTACACACCACTGTGTGTCTAATTTATATATTGAATAACTTTAAAAAAATTAAAAAAAAAAGTTTATGGAAAAATACAAAAACAACAACAAAAAGGAGCAGGCCATCACAACCCTTCAGAGCTGAAACATTTTCTACACACCCTTGCTCTCTCACTTTCTGCCCTTTACCACTAGTTGTCACTCCTCCATTTTTAAAAACATCTCCTTCCTTCTCAGACACTCCACAAGCTCACAACCACTCTCCCTTTAATTGTCATCCTGCGATTTTCTTACAAGGACCAGTGTCTCAAACTTTAATGAGGCGCAGCTCCATCAGTGTAGGACGTGTGTCTTATTTGGCTTCGTTAGCAGATGTTCCTCTGGGCTTGCTTAAGTGGCTGCAGTTTAATGTGCAGAAGGCGGGCTGAGTTTAGATGGATGGGGGATGCATATCCATTTTTAAACAACTAGCCAATTTAAGACCCTGGGGTTAAAGGAAAAAAAATGCAAAGCAGGTTGTTGCTAACAAAAGCTATGTTGTTGTTAGCCTGATCTTAAGCCACAGCCGTCTGCGTGCACAGCAAATTTAGAGGATAAAGAAGAAGAAAACACTGCGTGTAACACCAAAAAATACAAATAAATAACTGTATGGGCTGCATGACCTAACCTGAAACCTAATTAATGACTTTTGGCAGAATCACTGGGAAGATGTGTTATTTATGTGTCATTGCTCATTTAACCAGGAAACCACGCTAACTTACAAGAGACCTGATCCAGAATGAATGCAACAAAGATGAGGTTAAATGCAAGTTATAGAACATGAAATATAATGTACAAATACTCCAAACAAAACTGCAATACTAATTACCTCAAGAAAAGCCACCAATTCAGTAGATAAGTGTGTGTAAGTCTACCTCCTTACATGTTGATGGAGTGTAGTAATAAAATGCTGTTTAATCTGATGTGTCAAAACCCCGAGGGGACTACAAAGCAAGCATCTGGAGGAGTGCGTCTGGCAACTACTGGAGCCGACTAAGATAACAGTACAGAGGTAAACTGAAAATTTACCATAAAACTTTTTTTTTTTTTTCATTACTGAATACAATTCAAGTTTATTTATATAAGGCCAGTTCACAAAAACAGTCGCCTCAAGGCAATTATGCTGCAAGGTAAAGACCTTGTGACGATAGTGTGCAAACCACAACAGTCAGTTGGTCCCCTATGAGTAGCGATTGGGGTAAGCGGGAAAGAGAAACTCCCTTTTAACAGGAAGGAAGCAATAGGTCATTTACATCTTGTGTAGGTGTCTTGTGGTATCACCAAGACGTTTGCATCAGATTCATTAGGACTCTTACGAAGCTTCGAGCTGAGCGAATAACACTAAACACAGCGGATCTGGAGCTTGTGCACAAACTGCAGGATCAGGTTCCAGTTATCACAGAGTCAAATAAAACAAACAGAACATAGATGGTTTTTAAAAAAAAAAAAAAAAAAAACTTTCTGCCTGACACGTCTGACAGAACACAAATAAACTAATGAATTTAATATATTATTTGATTTATTTTAATCGGTGGACAGATACCATCTCTTTCCACCCCTTGCAGAACAGGCTGTGACTATAATCTCATCTGCACACTTCCTCTAAGGCATTTCTTGGTATCACATCCTCTAATTCAGTTCTCAACGAAAGTGTTGATGATGCAAGATGCTGTCAATGATTAACTTTGTGTCTGTTTCTATCCATGTGTATTTTCTGTGCGTGTGTGTGAGAATGTGTGTGTGTGTGTGTGTGTGTGTGTGTGTGTGTGTGTG